TCGATAATGGATTGAAAAGCCTCCACAGCGAGAAACAAAACTTGTAGAATAAGCAAGATTACCTTGTTCCTCAATAAAGCATCGATGACTGTTGCTTGATTGTTGAAAGAACCATGTTCCCCCCAAGCATCTCCTTGGTTTTCCCCGAAAGCATCTTTTATTTCCTCGGGTTGAACTATTGCAAGATCCTGAAAAAAAAATTTGTTAGAAAAAATCTAGAATATCATAGCCTAAACATAGTTTAGTTTAATATTAATAATTAATGTCCCCCTAAAATCCCAAAAACAAGACAGCTAACTCCTAGATGCAGCCCCATTCAAGAAGTTAGAGATGGAGCTTGCAAGGTTGGAGATGGCTCTAGCTAAAACTGTTGCAGCTGCAGCCTTCTCCTTCTCAGCCAGGCTATTCTCCTTCATGCAAACAATGCTCTCCTTTTGCCATGCTAGATTCTGCTCATTTCGAGCAGTAGCGAGAGCATTTCCCTCAGCGAGCAAAGTTGTCATGCTTTTCTCGGCCTTCTTCGGGTTCTTCTGCTTCCCTGAACTCCCTGGCACCTGTGTAGCATCTCTAGGAGGATCAACACCATCCGCGGGGTCCTCCTCGTGAGCTTCCTCTTCCGAAGCATCTGAATCAACAAGAAATGTTGGAGATGTCGATGTTTGCTTTGCTAGGAATTCATCCATGATGTTGAAGTACTCGACTAGGAACACCTTCAAGTTCAACTTCATTGGCATAAGCTGCTTTGCATCCTTGTGGCTCAAGCTAAAGTAGTCAGGGTTCCCAGTTTTCCTTTGGAAATCACAAACACACTTGTAGTTGTTGCAAAGGTTGTTCCAGCGAGTCTAGCAAGCCTTCCAACCCCGCTGCATGCCAGCAGCCTGGACCTTCTTCACAATCCTCTTCCAGCAATCAGTTGCTGTCAACGTTGTCTCCTCACTTCCCCACACTGCCCTGATCTTTCCAAGGTGATCTTCCCATTTGAAGTCAATGAGGGAAGCCATCTCACCATCTCCCTAGTTTTTCCCGCATTTCTTCCTCACTTTCTTCACAACATGAACACCTGCCTCCCCTTCCTCGTCGGCATCACCCTCCTCTTCATCACCCCAATCATCTTCTTCCACCTCCTGTTCAATGGCAACGTCGTCTTGCTCCTCCAAGTTATGAAACTAGAGTTGCATGTACTACTGTCCTGATGACTGCTCTTGCTCCAGGTCACCTGCTTCACCACCTTAAACCCGAAACCACTCTCCTAGAATCTGAGCTAAACTCGGTTTGAAGCTTACCTTGTTAGTTGTCATAGAAGAGAATTCAGAGAACAATCAAGTTCTAGAAGCCGTGGGGGGAGAGGCTCCAGCTCCCCGTGCTACAACTCCCCATTCTCCAGCTCTGAGTCCACCCTGATTGAGGCCAAGATTCGAGAGATCGGCATCTCCACGGCCTCGGCCCCAAGGCGGCATGCCTCCTTGAGCAACAGCTGGGCCTGGTGCTCGTCCTCCAACCCCGGATGCTCCTCACTCCACAAACAGCACCTCCTCGCTGGATGCCACTGCCCTGAACCTGTACCATCTCCTCGTCAAACCCTATAACTCCTCCTTCCGCAAAATCGGCTACTCCTCCTTCCTCAACCGAATCCCCAACATGATCTAACCCTAGGGCGATGACTGCTACCATAAAATGCCTGAGCTCACGGCAGCTCGCAGCAAAAAACTGAAACACGTGCTGGAATCTTTGGGGAATCTTGGAGATCCCTTTTAAAAATATTTTAAGTTCCCCCCTATCTTTTAAAATCGGTCTGAATGTTTTAAAAAGTGAAAACATTGTGTTAAAGTTAGCACTATGTGCAAATGAAATTTTTTTTAAAAATATCCTAAATTTTAATGTAAAGTAATTTACTTTATTTTAAAACATAGTGCGAATGTATTCATCACTTAAATTTAACACATTTCAAGAATAAAGAGCAGGTACATGGCTCCTATGGTCTCTTATTCTTCTGTATTGCCAACAACTGGTTGGTCATGGGATCCAGTTCTATGCCAGGTACCTGCATGTCCATAGAATTTGTAGCGTGCGAGAGCTAGATAGGTTGCTTGTTTCTGGTATATAGTTTTCCAGCGTTACAACAACTCAGCAGCGCGGCATGCTCAACTTGATGACTTGCTCATCCTTACTGTGCCAGACCAGGAAAACACCTCGAGGTGCAAACCGAGCTCTCACTGCAAATGGCTCTGTCATCAATGATATCATATGGATACGGTACGGTCCTCTTTTGTATTAATTTTTCTGACATGCTCGTCATTAAGTGTGAGGAACTAGACGCCTGCTCCCTGGTCAACAGTGGTGGTGCCTTCGTTCCCAGGTGAAAGCTCTTCGTTCCCAGGTGAAAGCTCTTAGTTCTCTGACTCATTTCATTTTTTTTATTATAGGGTCAGTTCACCAAGTTATGTCTTCGTCCAAAATCATCATTGAAGCTTTATTTTTTGATAGATTCTTTTCCTGTTCTTCTCAAAGGTCAGAAAAAAACTAGAAGTTTCACCAACTGTTACTTCTATGCATCATTGGTTTTTGACATATTGATAGCAATAACCAAAACAATAGAGCTCAAGGTATTATCAATGTTCATTTTTCTATTCTATTGTCTTTTTTTCTAACTATATGAGGATGATTTTGCAACTTCTTTATTGTTTTAAAGTCTTTATCTTTCCCGTGATCCAACTATACTTGTAACTACATTAACCAGTTTGCTATTGAACGCTTATATGAATCATATCCTCAATTTTGTAAGGAAAGCCTACGATAGGCCATTATGTGGACACGACCAAGTTCGAGGCTCTGGTATGTGAGAAAGTCTTTCACCTGGCTTTGATTTCCCTTTTCCCTCCTTTCTTCTAGGACGCATGGCTTGACAGTGCGGAGGTAGACACTTTGAACGCCTCACGAGAAAAGATAAAGAAGTTTCCGAGAATGACATTTCCCCTCGAGATATCAGGCTCACAAAGAAGCAGATTGCTGATGCGCTGGAGCCTGGAGAAATGGTGCTTGTTTTTTATTGTTCAGCATTGTCATGCTTGGTAGTAGCATTCTATTGTCTTGGGTATGCCACTTACGCGAGCAGTATTCCTTTTGTCTTTCACTGAATGCATGCATATGCTTGTGCCTAGCATAAACATCTCTGTGGATCTTGACGAGATGAACCACATTTCTACTGAGTAATAGGCACATTCAGGTAAGCAGTGATTTTCAAAAGCATAGTTTTGCTCCTTGTCCTCTGAGAAACTGGGCTCTGGTTGCCGCAGTTACGTAGCTCCAGAGTACGCAATGACCGGACATCTTTTGGTGAAGAGCGATGTCTACCGCTACGGGGTCGTGCTACTGGGGCTACTGTCGGGCAGAAGCCGGTCGATATGTCCCAGCCACCCGGTCAAATAAATCTAGTGACATGGGCAAAGACCGCTGCTCAACAGCAAGGAGGGACTGGAGATCCTCGGCTCTAAACAATGTTCCATTCGACAACCTCGTCAGGGTGGCAGCGATCACCTCCAGCCGGACGTCTCTCACAGGCCTCTCATGCAGTCGTCCAGGCGTTGAAGCTAATGTACAACGACTCGGACGCCAGCGATGGTATCGTGTCCGGCAATGGCAGCATGCCCTGGGAAAGCCAGCAGCAGGATGTAAAGTCGAGGAATCCTTTTGTCGGCGGTGGTGGAACGTACGCAAGCGGTGGTGGTGGTGGTGGCGGTGGCGACGAGAGAATCCGCACTGTGGCGAGACACGGCTGGGAGAGTGGCTCGTTCAACAGCATTGACTACGACTCGAGGACGTTTGGTGAAGATCGGGCAGGGAAGCAGAAGGCACTGTCAAGCTGGGGGAGCAGCAGCAATGCGCATCAGCTCCCACTGCGGCGACATCGATCAAGCGGAAGCGTCCTTGGTACCGAGTGAGAAACGCGTAATGGGACAGTGAGTGAGTCGGTGCTACTGCGGTACGGACGATGCTAACAGGAACGACCATCGTGACAGTTTTTAGAGGGAGCGGGGCGGCGGGGGTGGTGGTGGCGGAGATGGAAGGGATGGATTGACTATTGTTTCACGCAGGCTAGTCGTATTCTTGCTCGAGATGATGGTTTCGAGCTCGGCTTCTCATCGATTTGGATCTTCTTGCTGGGTGTTTGCTACTGGAGTATAGCGAGATCACAGGAGCACAAGAAGGGAGCTTGAGTTCCTGGCTCGGGAAACAAGCTGTCCAGAGTGCAAGATGGTGGTAGTTTGTAACATATGATATCGTTGATGACAGAGCCATTTGTGGCGAGAGCTCGGTCTGCACCTCGAGGTGTTTTCTGGTCTGGCACAGTAAGGACGAGCAAGTCGTCAAGTTGAGCATGCCACGCTGCCGAGTTGTTGTAACGCTGGAAAACTAAATACCAGAAGCAAGCAACCTAGCTAGCTCTCGCACGCTACAAATTCTATGGACATGCAAGTACCTGGCATAAAACTGGATCCCATGACCAACCAGTTGTATAAGAGACCATAGTCAATTTAACACCTTGCAAGGAAGAAAAAATAACAAATTTATATGTTAACTTTCTCTCCACTTTAGAATTACACACCAGATTTCTGTTTTGCACGGGCAGTTGAATGATTGATATAACAACGCCTCCTGACTTGTGGTTCCCACTGATTTGAGCACACGAACTGTCATGTGTAAGGAACTTTGGAAGGAACAAAATTTCACGAGGATCCAGATCGCCACACGTGCCCTGGAAAGCGAATCGATAAGGAGATAGCAGGCGCCAAGGCGCCGCCTGGTCATGTCGCCCTGTGCCCTGGAAACCTCCCCTAACTCGCTTGCTCGCATGCCAAGCTTGTATCGAATGAATTCCAGGATATGGATGCTGCCAGTGCGCAGATCAAAAAAATTGTATTACAAATAGTATCCGGTATTAATTAGTTTAACAGGAGAAATCTCGACCGTTGGCTTAAAAAATACTTTAGAATATGCCGGGATATTCTAGATATATTCTTTACTCTTCATACAGCTTTTTAATTTATAAGATTTCATGGAGAGTTGGTACGGGTAGTGGAAAAAGACCATCTTCGCTGTGTTTCGACTTTGTCTCCCAGCCAAGGTACCGGGTGTATTCATAGTCGATATCCGAAAGGACTCGGGCTGCTCCAATCTTGGACTGCTCTTTTGGAACCACCACGGGATGCCCAACGTATTGTCTATAAGCACGCCACATCGCTGTGTCCGGTGGCTTTGCGAGATCGTAGTCCTCTGGCCACATGTTCATCAGCCATGCCTCTTCCTTTTCGCTGGAGGACACCCTGTATAAACAAATCATGCCGATATTTTAATGTGTGTTAGAGAATGGATGCTAGTGCTAGTACCACATCTCTCCCATAGTGCATATCCTCACAGCTTTCTCCATAAAGGACGGAGTGCGCTCCTTGTAGAAACCATTTGCTAGAACCTGGCAAGAAAGAAAAGAATAAAAGCTTGCACACACAAACATGTACATACCTCCTCCTCCTCTTGCGTGCTAGAATCCTGCGTCCCAAGCCGGCCATCTAGTCCAACAAAACACTTGAACATATATAACTCTGGAGAGGCACAAAACTTACACGTCAACTTGTGGTCGTAATAGATTCGGAGGTCGTAGCGCCCAAGCCAGATGCGAGCGTGCTGCGTGCAAACCGAGATGGCATGGTAGTGCGGCAACACGGACAGCGGTGGCCTCTCGAGGGCGAGCGATCGCAGGAGCTTGTTGTTGTGGATCCCTTCGAGCAGCAGTACCAGTTCCTTGACCCGCAGGGGTGCAGACATGACGCCGTCCATTTCGACAAACGGCCAAGGCGGCGGGACTCGATGTCCTGCAAGCAGCGAGTAAACCAATTTTACTTGGTCTCGTCGAGCTTGGTCACGCACAACCGATCGCATATTCCACCCCTGTGGACAGAACTTATAAAGATCAGAGATTTCAAGAATTTGAGTTACTCACCATGTTGTCCACCGGGTGAAAAAAGAAGAAGTCGCTGTTCACAACTTTGGATACCAAGTCCAGTAGCTTTGGCACTTCCCCCGCAAACGTGGTACTCAGAGGGGAGAATTTGATGTCCCACTTCTCCTCCACGTCCCCTTTGCAGCGCCCTGAAAGAGTTGTCGACAAGAGAAACCAGGTAAATAAAAAACTTCTTACATCTAAATTCCCCATTGCAAGGCTTGCGGTAAGGCTCTGCAGGAAAGAAATCCATATCGATATCGGTGCGCGCCACCTCCTTGGAGCACACTTCCAAAACAAAGATCCAAAACCGCCATTAGAAAACCAAGAAAAGTTACAAACCTTTCATGTTCCTCTCCCTGCAAAACGCGCTCCACAAACGCTCCAGGTGCTCCGTCACCTCCTCGTCTTGCCTCGATGCTTCTAACGAGTCAAGGGTTGGAGTCCGCGAGAGCAGCACCCGGCGAGCGAAATCAACCATGCAGTCCATCTGCGCTCGCGCGCCGTCCCAGCCCAGCGTTGCAGCGCACGCGCTCCTCTCGGCATCGGAGAGGCGGGCGATGTAGCAGAGTGCCAGCACCAGGAACAGCGTCTCGTCCGGATCTTCAGCATGCCATTTGGCGATCATGGCATCTATGCACACGCATTCGTGCACGTCCATCGCCGCTGCCTCCTCCTCATGCGCCCGTGCAGCTTTGGCGACGAACTTGGACATGGCCCCAGCATAACCAATACCCCTTGCGTTGACAAGATCATTAAACCCTACCCCTGGTTTCAAAATCTCGGTACGATACACGGGCGATAGATGAAGCGTACGCCTCAGATCCGCAGATAAACTGCCCGGAAGCGGAGACAAACGACCCCGCGAGGGCAGCGGAGAAAAACTGCCTAGCGTCGAGAGACTTCTACGAAAAGAACTGGAAAGCATTGCTGCGCGCAATACTGTGCCCTACGTTTATAAGCCGTTTTTTCGATAATCTGGCATAGACAGCTTGTTTCCCGAGCCGATCTCGCTATACTCCAGTAGCAAACACCCAGCAAGAAAATCCAAATCGATGAGAAGCCGAGCTCGAAACCATCATCTCGAGCAAGAATACGACTAGCCTGTGTGAAACAATGATCAATCCATCCCTTCTATCTCCGCCAACCACCACCGCCGCCCCGCTCCCTCTAAAAACTATAGCAGCCAAATGTCACTATGGTCGTTCCTGTTAGCATCGTCCCGCTTGTACCGCAGTAGCACCAACACTCACTGCGTGTTTCTCACCCGGTAGCACTGTCAAGCTGGGGGAGCAGCAGCAATGCGCGTCATCTCCCAGTGCGGCGACATCGGTCAAGCCGAAGCGTCCTTGGTAATTTCCACCAAACGTCCTAGAGTCGTAGTCAATGCTATTGAACGAGTCACTCTCCCAGCCGTGTCTCGCTGCGTCTCGTCGTCACCACCGCCGACAAAAGGATTCCTCGACTTTACGTCCTGCTGCTGGCTTTCCCTGGGCATGCTGCCATTGCGGACACGATACCGTCGCTGGCGTCCGAGTCGTTGTATATTAGCTTCAACGCCTGGACGACTGCATGAGAGGCCTGTGAGAGACGTCCGGCTGGAGGTGATCGCTGCCACCCTGACGAGGTTGTCAAATGGAACATTGTATAGAGCCGAGGATCTCCAGTCCATCCTTGCTGTTGAGCAGCGGTCTTTGCCCATGTCACTAGATTTATTTGACCGGGTGGCTGGGACATGTCGACCGGCTTTCTACTGCGACAACCAGAGGTCAGTTTCTCGGAGGACAAGGAGCAAAACTACGCTTTTGAAAATCACTGCTTACCTGAATGTTCCTATTACTCTGTAGAAATGTGGCTCATCTCGTCAAGATCCGCAGAGATGTATCATATGCATGCATTCAGTGAAAGACAAAAGGAATACTGCTCGCGTGAGTGGCATACCCAAGACAATAGAATGCTACTACCAAGCATGACAATGCCGAACAATAAAAAACAAGCACCATTTCTCCAGGCTCCAGCGCGTCAGCAATCTGCTTCTTTATGAGCCCGATATCTCGAGGGGAAATGTCGTGCTCGGAAACTTCTTTAACTTTTCTCGTGAGGCGTTCAAAGTGTCTACCTTTGCACTGCGTCCTGGAAGAAAGGAGGGAAAAAGGAAATCAAAGCCAGGAGAAAGACTTTCTCACATACCAGAGCCTCGAACTTGGTCGTGTCCACATAATGGCCCATCGTAGTATCTCTTCTCGCTCGCATTTAAGTTGAATGGCTCCATCTTAGCTCAAACAGGTTACAAGGAAAGGATCGCATCGAAGCTCTGCCGTTCTAAGCATGCGTGCACTACGCAGGCAACCATCTAAGCATCGCCTCAGAGAGAGAAATCACTCCATTGAACTAGCTGATATTACATTAATGACGTGGCGGAAACGAGCTTTGAAGTGCTGGTATTGGAATCTCCTCTCTTTTGAGCTGCTTCCTTGAGAAGGCCTCGGTGTGAAGGTAGCGGGTGCATTTATAGTTGATAGTGGAAAGGACGCGGCCTTCAATCTTGGGCTGCTCTTTCGGAACCGCCACGGGATGCCCAACGTACTGTCTGTAAGCGCGCCACATCGCTATGTCCGGTGGCTTTGCGAGATCATAGTCCTCTGGCCGCATGTTCATCAGCCATGCCTTTTCCATTTGGCTGGAGAACACCCTGCATCACAAAAAGAAATCATGCAAAGATTTTAATGTGTGTTAGAGAATGGATGCTAGTACCACATGTCTACCATAGTGCAGGCCCTCACAGCTTTCTCCACGAAGGACGGAGTGCGCTACATGCAGAAACCATTTGCTAGAACCTGGCAAGAAAGAAAGGAATAAAAGTTTGCACACACAAACATGTACATACCTCCTCCTCCTCTTGCGTGCTAGAATCGTGTCTCCCAAGACGGCCATCTAGTCCAACAAAACTCTTGAACATATATAACTCTGGAGAGGCACAAAACTTACACGTCAACTTGTGGTCGTAATAAGCCAGATGCGAGCGTGCTGCGTGCAAGTCGAGATGGCATGGTAGTGCGGCAACACGGACAGCGATGGCCTCTCGAGGGTGAGCGATCGCAGGAGTTTGTTGTTCTCTCAATACCACTACAGTGGAAATAGGAATGAACACTTTGACTTATAAGCTGAGAAATTGATAATAGATTTTGAATTAAGCTAAGTAGAAATAAAACACCTCTTAACTCCATATTAAAACTCTCAAAATAAATAGATCCACAAGCAATAATATATAAAGTCTCACCTCTAAGAAACTCTTATTTTCTGAAAGAAAGCCTTATTTGTTGTCATCTTAGTGCTATAGCTGTTGTAACATATAACCTTTGTGCCAGCCTGAATTAGTTGCGGAATCCGAAATATCTAAGTATGGACAGTTTCCACAAGGATACGCAAGCACCACACGAAGGAAGAAAAAAGCAAAGCTTGTCATACCCCGTCAGCCATAGTAATTCTTGGCATTTGCTACAATATCATGTCCAGACAGCGGGACATTACTCGTCTTGGTGTCTTACAATTGAAGAATTCTTACTCACAGGGCACATTACTTCCAAATCGCTGGAAGAAGAGAAACCCCATCTCCCATTGCCTCGATGCTGTCGTTACCTCAGTATGCTCTCATCTTCATGCGAAATCCACCAGAGCGAAAGAGGAAGAATGAATACTTCCACCTCCAGGGAAGCTTACACGGAGCTCACAAGTGCTGGTACTGAAACGTCGAGTGCTGGTACTGGAATCGTAATGGCGATTGAATCCCACCACGTCTTTCACTTCGTCAAACGCAGGATCGTCCACTTTTAAGAGCATGAATACACCCGGTTCTTGGCCAAGGAGACAGAGTCGAAGCACAGCAGGGATCATCTCTTTCCACTGGCAATCGAGAAATTCTCAAGGGAGGACCTCATAAAGAGAGGACATAGTTGATAGTGCAAAGGACGAGGCCTCGAATCCTTCGCTGCTCTCTAAGAACCACCACGGGATGCCCAAGGTACTGTTTATAAGCACGCCACATCGCCGTATCCGGTCCATGCCTCTTTCTTTTCGTTGGGGTACACCATGACAACAACCAATGCCAGGATTTAAATCTGTGTGTTGAAGAATGGAAGCTATTACCACATTGCTTCAACAGTGCAGTCCCTCACAGCTTTCTCCATGAAGGACGGAGTGCGCTCCTTGCAGAAACCATTTGCTAGAACCTGACAAGAAGAAAAGAATCAAAGTTTGTACACACAAACAAGTATATACGTCCTCCTCCTCCTGCGTGCTAGAATCCTGTGTCCCAAGCCGGTCATCTGGTCCAAGAAAACTCTTTAGAAAGAGAACACATATAACTCTGGAGAGGCACCACTTACACGTCAAGTCGTGGTCATAATAGATTCGGAGGTCGTAGCGTCCACGCCAGATGCGAGCGTGCTGCGTGCAAGCCGAGATGACATGGTAGTGCGGCAATACAGCCAGCGGCGGCCTCTCGAGAGCAAGCGATCGCAGGAGCTTGTTGTTGTGGATCCCTTCAAGCAGCAACATTAATTCCTTGATACGCAAAGGGGCAGAGTCGGCGGCGTCCACTGGAACACACGAGTCAGGCAAGATGAATGGATGTCCCGCAAGCTGCGAGTAAGCCAGTTTTGCTTGGTCTTCTCGAGCGTGGTCCCATCAATGGTTACGTTGGTGAGATCGACCAATCAACGAGATTTTAATGTTATCAGCTACAAGCTCTATCATTCTATCATTCGCGCTGGGAACTCAAGGTTAGTTACTCACCAGATTGTCCACTGGGAGAGAACCGAAGCATATCACAACTTTGGACACCAAGTCCAGTAGCTTTGGCACTTCCCCCATAAACGTGGTACTCAAAGGGGAGATTTTGATGCTCCACTGCTCCCTCTCTTCCTCTATGCAACGCCCTGCAGCTGTTGTCAACAAGAGAATAAAAAAGACTTTTCACATCTATATTCCCCATTGGAAAAGGTTCGCCAGCAAGAGATCCGTCCCAATAACGTTGCGCGCCACCTCTTTGGAACTCACTGTACGTAATGAAACGAGAAAACTTTAGCCTCAATACAAACCTTTGGTGTTCCTGTCCTCGCAAAACTCGCTCCACAAGGGCTCCAGGTGCTCCGTCACCTCCTCGTCTTGCTTCCATGAGGCAAGGCTTGTAAGTCCAGTCCGCGAGAGCAGCACCCGGCGAGCGAAATCAACCATGCAGTCCATCTGCGCTCGCGCGTCATCCCAGCCCAGCGTTGCAGCACAAGCACTCCTCTCCGCATCTGACAGGCGGGCAATGTAGCAGAGTGCCAGCACCAGGAACAGCGTCTCGTCCGGATCAGAGGGACGCCATCTCGCAAGCATGGCATCTAAGCATGCGCTTTCGTGCTCGTCCAGCACCGCTGCCTCCTTCTCATGCGGCCGAGCTGCTCTAGAGACACTGCCTGAGCATAATCAATATCTTGCCTTGTAATGGTCATGACAAATTCTAACCCTTCAAGATCTCGGTGGACACACATGGCCCGAGCGGAGAAAAAGTAGCTGAGAGATTCCTACGAAAAGCAGAAAACTTGGAAACACTGCCAAACTTTTTAGGTTCTTACCGAAGAGAATTTTTTTTAGGGTTAAAAAGGGTATTAAATTAATGGCGGAAGTCTAACAAATGGAATTATTTAATCAAGTGATTAAATTCAAGGAGCCTAATACTCTAGTCAAATGAAATATGTTACAAAAAAACGAGAGACAACTCACTACCATCATCTTGCCTGGCGTCCGCACAATCAAATCACTCTCGAGAGCTTGTTTCCCGAGCCAGGAACTCAAGCTCGCCATCTTCCCTTCTTTTGCTCCCTGTGATCTCGCTATCCTTCAGCAGTAAACACTTTCAGCAAGAACATCCAAGTCGATGAG